CGACATTTTGTTTTAGGGTATGGTTTTGCCAGCCAACATCTTTGTGAGGTTTGTTTTGGGGCTTGCCAACCAGCACACAGGTTCGGGGTTGAAATCTCACAGGTTTTGGCTAAGCGCCCTGCACTAAAAACCTGAATTTGCAGCCTCACACGAAAACCTAACCACCGCAACAACAGGCGGGACAACAAGCAGTACGACTTGAAGTATGTCGGAGCGCATTTCGTGAGCCGCGTTTCGGTTCTTTCCAGAACTTTGCGACCGAATCTCTTCGCAGCCTCAGCTCCAACAGCGTGGGGAAAGACAACGACCCTACACCATTTGCTCCCTTTGTTGCGATAGGCGGTGGCCACAACATCCAGTTTGACTCAGCCTTGGCCGTGGCACGTGCGATGGGGACCACCAGCTCGGCGCAGCAAAGGAATATAATGGGAGCACGGTTCGGGAATATTGATGACTCACTGCCAGGACATTTCTGGATCCGGAAGCAACCTCGGAAGAGGCAGCGCCAGAATCCGTCAGTTTGCTGAGGTCAGGCTTGAAGCTGGACTTGAATCCATGTAATGTCTTGTTCAAAAGGGAGTTCTGGCTTTGGGACACTAGTCCGTACCCGTAGCAGACTCGACGAGCACTTGCCGAATCGGCTCGAACTTGGCTGAAGCATGTAGTGCATTGAGTTTCCACAGATATGCGTTTGCAGCATAGCCTAGCCATAGACCTTCTGAAGGTCGAGAGTCCCTGAACGTGCCCCAAAGTGCTGATGTTTGGGTGCTTCCATGGCTGCATCGCAGGGACTGATGGAGCGGATGCTGTCGATGACCAATGCCAAGCTGCGCCCTTGCTGTCGGAGTTCCGGATTTGGGAGATGTACGTCTCGGATCTGGGCTTCTTAGTAAAACAGACTGAGCAGGATTGAGGTTGCTCTTGCTTCTTGCCTACGACCATGAGAGGAAGAGACGGGGCGTTCTTCAGAAGCTGCTTAGGGCATGTGCGTCGTTCTGCAATCCTTGATTTTCAGTTACTCGGACTTGGGTCTGAAGTGCAGTCTGAAATAAAGTCAGCGCCACTTTTGCTCCATCGTGGGCCGCAAAAGTCCAAAAATAACACCACTCCCCCGAACCTAGTTATTGCCTGGCTTTGCCCGAGTGTGAGTGTCAAACATGAATGTATTGGGCGAGGGGTACAGTGCCCCAAGACCGTCGGCGCATGAAAGTTTCCCTGGTGCCTGGTGCTCGGTCTTGAGGTGAGCTAATATAATTCTAACGCTACGCGGCCCGCCTCGGCTCCAGTAGTGCCAGCAGCGGCGCCCGGCAAGCAGCAACAGCAGGCACAGAAAGAGCACAGCGACTGGCAGCATGTGTTGTACTCGAAGAGGGCTCGGAAGGCTGGCAGAAGCAGGAGCAGAAAGTAGCCATGGGCTGCTGTAAACCTGCGGCGCTGGGCGGCCTGCACTGAAGGTGATGGCATGAATGAACAGAATAACAGACAGCAAGTCAGAAGCAGCTGGAGCAACAAAACAGGAAAACGAAGGAACTTCAACGAGGAAGCAAGGACCCCAAGGGGGAAAAACACTGAAGAAACAAGCACGCGAACGAAGCACAGGAAGGAAGGACGGAAAGGGTAGAAGGACGCAGGGGGCAAAAGTGAGACCAGGGCAGGAAGGGGAAAGCAGAACCGAAGGAGAAGAGTCATTGAAAAAACACGCGAGCGAAAGCAGCGGGAAGATGGAAAAGTGGCGGTGGAAGATGGAAAAGTGGCAACAGATGGACAAAGAAAAGAAGGAAGTGGGGCAGAAGGACCGGGAGCAAGGGGAAGGAGGGAGGGCTTGGAAGAAGAAAGGGCAGGGTAGGGAAGGCAAGTCAAGAGAAGTGGGTCGGGGATGGAGGGGGGGCTGGGCCGGCCCGGGGGGGCGGGGGGGCGAGGGTGGGTCAAGGTGATCCCACAAATTGAGGCGAAAAAGGGGGGGGAGAAAGTGTGAATGGGCAAGGGGGTCGAACACAGGCTCCAAAAGCGCCTGAGGCCTTTGGGGTTTTGCTACGCCCGCCTCGGCCCCTCAGGTGCAGGGGCCGGATGAAACGGCAAACAAAGCCTTCTGCATCACTCAAGAAATCTGTTCCGGTCGGCTGTATTGAGAATTCTTCGGCAGGACTCCCACGATTCAACAGGTGCCGGCGCGCGGTAGAGAGGTGCTTCAGGAACAGCGGAAACGCAGGGTTTAGGCAGGCCAGAAAGAAGGGGGTGAGGCGGGGGGGGGGGGGGGGGGGGGGGGGGGGGGGGGGGGGGGGGGGGGGGGGGGGGGGGGGGGCAAGGCCAGAAACTCCGGTAAAATGAAGGCAAGCCGGGCAAGGGCGTGGCAAACGAATGCCCTCGGCGGATTCTCTCTTGTGATTGTTCGCATCGCCCACACCGAACACGCATACGATGCAGGCTGTCTAGATACGAACCCTGCAACGATGACGATTTGTTTTGGGAGAAACCTACACTCCAAAGCCGCCCAAGCCACGCATGAGAACACCGAAGGCGGCAGACGCAAAGTCCCGAGCCAACTTCCAGGTACCCTATGGACCTGTCGCACGTGCCTGAGGCTCCCAAGCTCAAGGCGAGCTTGAAAAGCGAGCGTTTAACATGTCAGCCGAGCAGTTTAGGGATTGAGGATTAGAGGTTGGATTCAACGGTAAGCACCCTTCGCAGCCGCGTGTTTCTTTCCCGACCGTTGCAACCATGCAGAATCCCGCATTGATGCTTTCCTTACCTGTATACCGCACAGCAACCACAAAGCAATGCAGGCAGGGTAGCAAATTTTACACCCAGTACCCCAAGTATGCGGTGTAGGCACTGCTCCTGACCAGCACAACTCGCTTCAAACATAGGACTGCAGCTGAACGTAGCAGTGTGTTCAACACCTCCACAAGGGATGAGAAACTTCCATCTCGCCTTCGCGCAAGGATCCAAGCACTGCGCGGCTGTAACGCAGCAAGGAGTGCCTGCAAGAATCGAGCTGAAGACTTGGCACAGTTTAGGACTGCCCCATGTAGCTTTGGGAGGTCTCTGAAGATCAAGTTTCATTCCTGAACCGTGGTTGCAAGAGCCAGATCCTGCAGCCTGCATGTCGTTGGCACCTGAAACCGCAGCAGGAAAAGAGATAAGAAGCCACCCCGCCAAGAAACAGATGGTGAGAATAACATAATGGCAATGACCATCATGATTACGACAACGACGGTGATGATGATGCTATGAAGGAGAAGATGGTGATGGCGATGACACGGAAGTATTTGACATACAGCGAGATGGACTAAGTCGAGCTTGGTGTACAAGTGTAAGAAACACAATCATAATTTGCAGCGCAACTGTTATCTGTAATGCACGTACATACGTAAGTATAATAACTCTGCAGGTTGATAGATATGTTGTCGTGCGTGTACATACAAACATTCTGTCTAGACTCTGCCAGGATCTGCCAACTAGGTCGTATTAAAGAGCATCTTGCCAGGAACAGTTGCAAAGCCTTCAAGTCTAGCTTGGAGTTATTGGTTTTGTTACCTCAAACCGTGTACAGCCATCGCGTGTAGCACGTTGAGCATCTCCGCAGGAAAGGCTACGGGCTGTGGCTTACCGACTGTGCTCGGTCTAACGGGTTTCAGGTTTGGGGTTTTGCGGGTTTAAGTTCATGGACCTGAGGGTACATAAAAAGTTGGACATGCTGGACTAGGTTTGCGAGCCTTCGACTCGAGCGGCTACGGGCATGGCAATAAGAATGTCGACTCGGGAAGGTTAATGACGGTTCTTGCAGTCTCCCTCGCCACGCCTTTCCTGTGAAGATATGCTTATTTAGGAGCCATTTGACAATTGCTCCTCTTAGGCTACTGCGCGCTGCGCGCGGAAGCTGAAATAGGCTGGAACAGCTCCGCTCCAAACCTCAGCCCCGACTTTATCCCAATCGTAGTGCCGAATTTCCGAAATTGTCTTTCAGAACGCAGGTGTGTACCATGAGTGTGCCATGTATTGCAATGTTGGATTGTAGCACGGTGAAAATCTTAAACTTCGGAAAGCAGCATGCAGTGCCCTGCAAGTGTGCATGAATGCATGCGTGTGTGTTTCAGGTTTGTTGCACGTTGTTTGCACTTGAATGTATGTGTGTACGGATGTATGGATGTTGTACCTGCGTTTGCGTGTATGTACACGTGTGTGTGTGTGTGTGTACGCTCAGGTAGGTGAGTAAATAGATAGATTAGATAGATAGATGGGTAAACGTAGTCCAGTAAACAAGACATGCACACACAGTCACGATGTTTGACAACAGAATATCGACTCAACTTGGGAGAGAAGGCTCACCCACCATTCAAAGCTAGAAGCTTACATACAGGTTTTCCATCTCAGCAGGGTGCGACCGATGACCTAAGCCCTGCACAGTCTCAGCCAGTGCCGGACATGCAAGGGTGGGGCTTACACCTTCCATTATGCCGAAAACCTGCCAGCTTTCTGCTCTGCAGCGTGATGCGCCGCATCTGAGACTTGAGGTAGCTCTATTCTTGAAGCTGCGATGAGGAGAAATGCTGGAATGGAAAAGTGCACGGTGCTGGGCACCGTACTCCATCAGCAGTGATGACAACCGCTCTGCAGACACCAATGCAGCTAATCTCACATGGAGAATGCCTAGGTCCGTGTTCCTCTTGTGTCGCCGCGATCACACCAAAGGCAGCAGCCAATACTTGCTGCAGGAAGGCAAATACATTGAAAAGCCTCAATCGTGCAACTCTTCGACCAGACCGGGAGCCAAAACTTTTGGGCCGTTGATTCCTGCAAGCTTCGTGTTGTGAGAGTCGAAAAACTTAGTCCCTCGTTGCAGCTCAAGCCGACAAAGCCTGCACAAGATCATTCAAATTGGTCAGACGACAATTAGTTTTCACGGAGCGAACCCTACCCAGCATCTTGGCCATTGAGGACTCAAGGCTTAACACCATCTTTCTGCACAAGCCAATCCGAACAACCTTGTTTCGGTTCAGGACCTCGTGGACTGCGAAGTCTTTGTTTGCGACCGCACGGAGCAGGCCTTCGTGGATGAGTGCCGGGGACTGAGTGACTTGGAGGCTCCGTGCATTGTGAGTTGTGACTCGTGCTGTTCACATCGCATCGTGCCTCCCAAGTCATTTGCAGGCTCTGGGTGTGCTGTCCTCATTGGTTGCTGCAGCGGGCCCACGTTCGTTCGCGATTGCAAAGGCCGGAGCCTCCGAGCAGTGACGAATGTCAAAGTAAAACCAGATCTGTTTCGATATTTCCTGGGTGCTAGAGTTCTTCGGGCTTGTCCGACACCATGTCCAGAACCGACACTCATCAAAGAGAGAGGCGAGACGTGAATCAAAGAGTGTTGAAATCCTAGTCGCTCATCCTAGACCTAGAGCTCGAAACACTACGAATCAAATCCAAAGGCCTCCCATACTACCCCCACGCCCAACTTTCTGTGAGGCTGCACCTTTTGGGTCGCAACGAGGCTTCCGTGCGCAGAAATGGTAGCAGGGGCAGCAGGATGAGGGCCGTATGCGGCCAATCCAGGTAGGGCAATTCCGGTCCAAGAATTTGAATAGCATGCTCTGAAACAATCAGTACAAACCAGAAGTCCTGACGAAGCTTTGCAGGAGGCGTCGCTCCATAGGCACGCAAAGGGCATTCAATAGCATACGCGGATGTAAGCGAATGTTGTTGCGGAAGAGCCTTCCCTAGCACACAGAGCTGGCAAGATGTTGGGTTGTTTTAGACAAGCTCGCTCAAGACGTTTCCTGTTGTAGAGCCGCAGCTGTCCGGGCTGCAACGGTGTTTCTCCAGTCATCATGTGTTGCTTACCCCCTTAAACATGAATTGCTGAAGTCCAACGATCACCTCAAGGTCGAGCGAAGAATGAAGGATCTCATTTTATCCGACGTCCGTTGCATAGTTCTTGAAGTTCACCATCTTTCCAAATCACGATATCAGCATCTCAATCTGATGTCTTTGCTTCCTTCAGATCAGTCCTGTGAGCTACGCAGGCAGCTTCGCACTCGTGATTGCATAGCAGGGCACTCAGAGCTGGAAAAACACTTCATGACTAGGGCTCTACGGACATCGCCAGCCAATTCAGTAGCGTGTCCGGCAACAAGTCCCCATGCTTGCATCGATCTGGGAGATGCTCACGAGTTGTTGAAGCCTTGACTTGAAACCTACAGACACTTTGTTGGGTGGGGTGGCTCTTGAAGTCTTTCCAATAGTGAACACTTGGTGTTGCCATTTTGGGACCTTGAGCTTGGTGTTGCAGGGCATTGCAGGACCGATGAGGAGTTGAGGCTGTTGGCCTCGACTTTTAATGAAGCAAGTTACGGAACGAAGTAGGCGGCTAGTGGCTCAAAGCTCGGAGCTTTAGGGTTCTGGGGCGGGGTGTTAGTCTAGGGTTTGGAAATGGCGGGATGATCGAAATTATGATATTTAGAGTTAAGATCTTTGCCAGCCGGACCTTTCTGCTTCTCCCTTTTGCTTTCTGAACCGGGGTGCCGGCAGACAGGCCCAGGTCTTCTTATGGCACTTAACGTGCAGAACATGTCGGTGAGTGACTGAAGTTCACGACCAGCATTCACATCGATCCTCATCTGCAGGACTGCAAGTTCTTCTTGCACAGTCACACCGAGCCCATCATCGAAAGCTCCAAGGACTGCAGCGGGCCTTGCCTCGGAGGTGATCAGGGGTCCCTGAGAAAGGCTAGCCGGGAAGATGCCACAGGTGAACAGGCGTCACCGTCACCTTCACGCAAAGTCCCCCGCGTCCTTCGCACGCCCCACGTCTCTGGGATCACCCCTTGGCCAGCATTTGGCTGGCCCGAGTTGATGCTCGAGTTCTGAATGCCGATCACTACGCCCGGATTGCCCTGGGCGTTCTTTCTTTCTTTCTTTCTTTCTTTCTTTCTCTCTCTCTCTCTCTCTCTCTCTCTGTCTCTCTCTCTGTCTCTCTCTCTCTCTCTCTCTCTCTCTCTGTCTCTCTCTCTGTCTCTCTCTCTCACTCTCTCTCTCTCTCTCTCTCTCTCTGTCTTCAGGATGCTTCGAAGATCTGCAGCTGTAGAAGCAGCAATGCAGCAGCAGAACCACCGTCACTATGTGTGCACGGGGCGGATTTCTTTTTGCTGTCGTCCGTAGGAGCTCGAGTTTTGCAGTACACTTGTTGTGCAATGGCCAAATCCACAGGCACATCGCGGCACTCGTGATTGCACGCTTTCCGGACATGTGGTGTCGGACTCGTGCGCACATGGTGTTTAGCATTCATTGTCGTGCCTTTCGGCTAGTGGCCCCCCTCTTGGAAAGTCGTGTGTACCCTTGGGGTTGGCGTGACTTTACCGCAGGTGTGCTGCCGCTGACGATGCCGATATATGCCGATCATATTCTTGATGGTGAAGACAGGATGATGAACGTGACGGTGGTGGTAGTCAGGCAGTAGTGATGCTTGAGAAAATACTGCATTTCTCCGCTGGTTCGCGAAGACCTGACCCTCAAGCCGCTTCCAGGATCTCGCATTTGCTCCCTTCGCCGCCCACTCCTGAGGGTGGTTTTCACTTGGCTTCAAGGGCGTTCCCCCGAAAGAAGTATATGTATGGGTTGGAAGAGACAGGGATCCCACATTGCAAGATCCAACCATCACCCTAGCAGCTTAAAGTGACGTTTGAGGTTCGCAGATTTCGCAGGGTTTTGGCAACACGGATGAAGTATGGTTGAGGACCGATTCCTCAGGCGCAGATGCACATGCTTGTTTGCTTACTTGCACGACCGACATGTTCTGAGGCTACCATCCAATCCCAGCCGACATTCAACCAGTAAACTCTCCAAAACAACCACGAACCGCCTGAACCCTCATGCCTTGTTTGGTCTTGTTCGTTGCTGCTCCCTCGCAATCTTTAACATTTCGTCTTGCCCGCTAATTCCAGCTAGGAGGCTTAGCTCTCTACCAGCACAAGGCCATCAGACATAATTCCGACCACTGACTATGGAGTTGAATGCCACGCACAATTTCTCAGGCTTCAGGAGGTTTTAGCTGGGCACTTGAATTTGGTAGCCGAGTTCATGTGGCTCTAGGAAGTGCTGCTCATTGTTTTCTACTTGCGGCTTGAAACCTGCTACGTGTGGGTTGGCGGCGACAAGGTTTCTGCATAGCCCAAAGTCGGGCCTTAAAAATTTGGAGAAGCGAAGAAGACTGGCGAGGCATCCTACCCAGGCGTGGCCGAGCATTTTCAAGAGGCCAAGATGGACGCAGGTCCAAACCGCTTCCTCGCTATCATCAGGATTGGGGGACTGTGTCGGGAAGTAGTTTTGCGGTAGTGTCTCTGTGCAAGCAACCAGCAACGGCTGACGACAAATGACTTCGATGTGTTCGGATCAAGTTTCAAGTGTTTAGTTAGGCTGAGGAATTTTGAGTGTTGGCCACCTTCCTTGGCCTGGAAATGGCGCCGGCTGTGGCCCTGGAGCCCTGGACTCAATGTTGAAGAGATGCCACCAGCCAAGCACGAGACCAAGCCGGGAGCTGTCACTATGATAAACACGGGACAGGCTAGAAGCCTTGGGTCGGCATGGAGAGCACAAAGAGGCTTGAGCCGAAATGGTACCTCATGATTCAGATTCTGGTACGACTTCAGCCCCGGCTCAGGAACAGCAGGGGAAGGGCATCGCCGTAATATCTTTTGGCAAGGAGCCCGTGAACAGCATCTTGGCATGTAAACAGCATACACAGGGAAAATTGAGAACGTCTACTTTCATCGCTTCAGAAATGCCGAGGCACCAGACATGAGCTTCAGGTAGCGGATTTCAACTCAAGGGTTGTTCTTTTCACCGTCATAGGGTTCCTGGTCGCTTGGGGTTCAGGAAGAATTCTTGATTTAGCTTTTGTGTGTTTGCTTCGGCGATTGAAGTTTTTCTCCGGCCAGTCCCTTCCATTTTATCCGAATTCTGGAAACAAGCGAGTTGAGGGTCGAAGGTCGAGGGCTGTTGGGACTGTTGGGAGGTCACCGCCGATGCTTATAGCAAGGGAACCACCATCCATCCGCAAAGCCAAGACCTGGAAGACCGCCCTCAAACACGCCAAGAGGAAATGGTACCAGACACAACAATTTGGAGCCCAGTCTTCTCAATGCCATGTTCTGCTGGCAGGCTTCCGGCTGAGGATGCTGCTTCGAACCTGCAGCCTTATCTCCAAACACTGGCCCTGGCACTAAACCCAAGAATATGCAAAACTCAAACCTCCCTGGCCTCCACCGGAGGCCATGAAACAGAAGAAAAAGTCCTGCAGAAGCCACGAGAGCAAGAAAACTGAGCAACAGCAAAAATAGCGAGAGACCACCTGCGGACTTCGCTCGACGGTTTCAAAGGCAGATGCGCAAATCCGCTCGAATGCTGCCAACGTTCCAAACTGCTGGCTCATCTGAAACGGTTTCTACAGCATCCACATGCAATATCATCGGATACAAGAAACGAGAGCAGGTATGGGCATGCAGTTCTGGAAGGACTTATCGACTACCTTCGAGGACGTCCCCGCAGCATGCTGTTTGGGTATCCCATTCTCCGTCGACCTGCGCATTGGGGAGTAAGGCTCACTTTAATGCCTGACTGGCTAACTGAATGCAGCTGAAGCCATACTGCCGCAAGGTTCAGGGTTTTCTTTTGGTAACATATGGCTGGGATGACTCAAAACTTCGAACGCATCACGTACAATGAGGGAATCTACTGAGACAGGGATAAGGTCTCAGGCCTCGGGCCGCAAACAAACTTACTACAAGACTTTGCTTCCTCTATAATCCTGAAACTCGAAGGATCACCGTGGCCGTTCTGGACATGATCATCCCTGACTCAAACCTTTCCTTCACTAGTCATGGAAAAAGTAGCTGATACAACTTCTCATCAGTTCTCCAACTGTGAGCTGTGACGGGACTGTGTACTCAACACGTAGCACCACCATGCGCGACACGGCGATGCCTCTACACAAAGCAGGCTGCCGAAAGCGACCCGGAGATCCGTGGCGTCATCTTCCAGTCGACACTGAAGAAGACTCATGACAAAAGTAAAAGCATGGCATTTGGCCCCTAGTTGTGTGTCGGGGCTAATTACCGGAGTTCGGAGTATAGGGTGCCTGGCAGACAGCCTCCTCTAATTTGCCTCTCGCACTCCCGGAGACGACAAAGCCTGAAGTATTGCTATACCTTTCTCGGGTCTGGAGAAGCACGAATGCACATGCGCGGCGGCAGGAATCGTAAGCAGGGATTTCGGAGTCTTTCCGAGGTTCGGAGCGTTCTCCAAATGTTAGTGACACTCCTGGGGCACGCTTCGGGTGCTGTTGCTCCTCAGTTCAGGGGTGCAGCAAGTAGCATTTCGTTGAACCTCGAATCTCTGGGGTGTCGACATCTCCACATAACAAACGGGAGATAAGGCCCGGTGTAGAAGTAACAAAGTAGCAACCAGTTGAATATAGTTGAGTATCTTCTGCCAATTCCTTTCCGTGGTGCTTGCATCTGTTAGGAAAGCAGACCAGCATCCGCATTCACGAAAAACTCGCAACCCTATTGGGCCCTTAATTACCAGTCTGAACCCTTGACATCCGCAACACTTCTATCCCGTCAAATCCGGCACGAAAGGAACGTCTTTACGGCCGGTCTGGACATCCAGGAACTCTACGCACCGGCCACGAATGAGGCCAGCGGCCAGCTTCATTCAGACCAAATCTTAGCTTCCCTTCGCTCCCAGCTCGCATTGCAAAGTCTCCCCCGAGCCTCGAGCACTCCTGCATGCAACATTCTGCCAGATCTGCCACTGTGCAGGCACGTGCGAGGGAGTTTTGGAGGACGCTTTCAGAGGCAACGCCATCACGGGCCCTTCCTATGCTTATTGGCATTCAAGACAGCAGGGAGATCATGAGATCACATGAGAAGCATTCATTATGCTGCATTTCCCAAAGAAGGGCGAAGCACCGAGGCTTTTAGTGGTTTGAGACACCTGGCTGAGGTAGCATGCCATCGCATGCGTTTATGTTCGACTCTTCACAGTCTTGGGCATTCGATGCTGCTAGGACGACCATGTACGAAGTAGGCTCGGCTCTTCTGCAGGTAGCAGGTTCTAGATAACAGACAGGTCCTCACGCAGATTTACAACAGCAGGCTGCCTGGCTTCAAGCTGATTGCGCCCGAATCCATATACAATACTACAAGCGTTCGAGAGGTAGGAAGGGGACCGGGCTACCAGCTTAGGGCGTTGAGCTTCTGTTTTGGGGCTTGACCCCCATACCTTCAAAAACCACTAGGGTTAGTAGGGCCCGACCCTGCGGCGATCCGTCATAATGCCATGTGGTGCGGTAAATTTCCGTGAATAGCCTGGAGGGGTTATGCCCAGCCCAGCGAGCTGTCCTTTAACAAAAGTCTTCTCTTGTATGGTAAGCCGTCTGAAAACCGAACGGCCGTCGCGGCGGGCTTGCACTCGCAAGCCACCTGCTCGAGGACCCTAGTGACACCCGAGAATTTTCATTCTAAAGTACATGTATACATGTACACTTAAGGATACTACACACAGTCAAAGAGAGCGAGTGTGTGTGTGTGTGTGTGTGTGTGTGTGTTCGTGTGTGTGTGTGTGTGTGTGTGTGTGTGTGTGTGTGTGTGTGTGTGTGTGTGTGTGTGTGTGTGTTTTTGTGTGTGTGTGTGTGTGTGTGTGTGTGTGTGTGTGTGTGTGTGTGTGTGTGTGTGTGTGTGTGTGTGTGTGTGTGTGTGTGTGTGTGTGTGTGTGTGTGTGTGTGTGTGTGTGTTTGTGTGTGTGTGTGTGTTTGTGTGTGTGTGTTTGTGTGTGTGTGTGTGTTTGTGTGTGTGTGTGTTTGTTTGACGTGTTTACTGATTCAGTCGCCAGAACCAAGAGCATGGCACGGCACAGATAGCAGCCCTTTTGTCTTGAGCCAAAGTCGACCCGTTGTGTACTGCTGTACATCGCACACATCGTTCCAGGAACATTTCGTCCCCCCTCACGACGTGTCGAGTTGGCGATTTCGCGATATGATCCTTGCGGTAGATGAGAGACCAGAGTGGACCCTCATCCCGCGTGCACTGTACAAGCCCACCACCACCCGCCGATGGGATGAAGGTACACGTTTTCACGTGACGGCAAGGCTCATATCTTATGTTACAGGTACAGAAGAAAAGTCGGAGACTTAGAAGCCTACGCAGCCTCGTCACTCCTTCACTCGTCAGCCAGCAGTGCTCAGCCGCTCCACGGCCGCTGCAGCTGCCGCCCGACGCCAAAGCCGCAGTAGTCCCACGTCCTAAGCTGCTCTTTCTCCTACCGCGCGACGCGCAGGTCAAGAGTTAAGAGCCCTTCAGTTAGCCGCGCGACGCGCAGGTCTAACTGCGACGAGGAGGCACACTACGACCTTAGCAACCGCAAAATGCGGTAAGGACCTTAGTAAAAACGACGTCCAACGTCGCTTCGGTGCACATTAGTCGCGCGGCGCGCTGACCTAACGGCACTTTGGGGTTCAGGACCTTGGTGTTGGGGCTCTCACAAGACCCAGCTTCGCAACAAGCTCTTAAAAAGGCAGTCTAGACAGAACCTTGGTGAAGAGATCCCCTAATTGATCTTTCGTAGAAGTGTACTCCAGACTGATCTCGTCTGCATGACTCTTCAAATGATCAGAGATTGATGCGATGGAAAGGCGTTGAGTCCTGACTAAACCCCTCAGCTTTACCGAGTATCCTGCCTTTAGGACCTTTATTGCCGATTCATTGTCTTCACGGATACGGATGGGTATTGTTTGTCCACACACCTTGCAGAGCAAGTCTTGAACCGGAAGTGCTTCAGTGAAAAGTCCATCCGCAAGCGCCACAAGTTCGGCCTCTGTAGTGGAGCGACTAACGGCGCCTTGGCGACGACTGGCCCAGGTTATCGGGAACTGTGTCCCGTTGGGGCCGCTCACTTGAAGCCAAAGGCCGCTTGTTGACTTGGACGTGTGGATGCAACCGCCCAAGTCTGCGTCGCAATACAGATCAATCCAGCAGCTGTGCAGTGGGTCCCTCACGATTCCTCTCAGAGAGTAGTCAGCTGTGCTCTGCAGATAGCAGAGCAAGCGATGCACTTGCTTATCTGCATTACGACTCCACGTGTTGGACTGCACCGCAAGCATTGAAATGACATGCGCCAAATCTGGTCGACATAACCGCGAGAGCCACAGTAGCTTCATCAATATTTTTGCAGAGGAATCGGCCAGAGCTCCTCTCACTTCAAAGTCTTCAAGAGGAAGGCTTCCCTCAGCTACGTAAGGCGTGGTTGCCGACTTCAAAGGCACAGCCCCGGGCAGTGAGAGGTACAGATCGATTGCCTGCTGTGCGTATGCAGACATCTGCATGTACACCGTTGTTCCGTCTTCTGAAAACAAGTGGTAGCGACCCAGAAACCTCTCCACAGAAGTCACTTCGTCAAGATCTATGTGCTCACGCAACTGCGACCAGAAGCTCTTCAGGCTCTCGGCCCTGCCGGCTGCGAGTATATCATCAACATAAATCGTGACTAAGACGCAGAGTGTCGGAAGCCAGAAAACGGACGGAAACCCTTCGACTGCGACCGCAAGTAGCACTGTCTTCAGGACATTCTCAAGGTAGGCTTGCCACTCAGCTGGAGCCTCTGGGTGGCCGTAGAGTGCCCGTTTGAGTTTGACAGCGACTCTTTTGAACCGACCCCTCCACTGAGGAAGCCATAACTCGGAAGGCAACACGACGTAAGTGGGAACCGGAGAACGCAGTGGAGCCTGCAGAAAAGCTTGGCAAGCATCTGCAGCCTGCACGAGAAAGCCTGAACACAAGCCGAGGAAGAGAGTCAAGTTTATTGCCTGCATGTTTGTCGGCAGCGAGTGCAACTCACGAAACAACGCCGGCAACCCTTGTTCATCCTTCGTGGCGTCTCCACGATAGACCACTCTGCCCTTGTAGACGTGTTTGTCTTCCTCCATTTCAGCATTCTTCACACCAGCGATCGTCATTGCTTCCGCAATGTGTATGCGCTCACCGGCTGCTTTAGCACGACGACAGACGGTCTCCGGTTCTTCAGCTGACTCGTCGTCCCATACCCCCCTGGACCTGACTTTGTCGCCCTCTGCTTGAACCGCACGCAACGCGCGAGGATTCTCAAACATTTCCTTTCGGGACAGGGCTCTAGTAACAAGTGCCTTAACACTGGTCCACAGAGGAGAAGCAGGAACGTCTCGTTCGACGTGCTCTTTCGACACCGAGTCACAAGGAACAACCGGCATCGATGGAACGTAACGATGCACTGTGTCAGGAAAGACAGCGCCGATGATCACACTGGCCATTGCCCGGTTGTAAAAGTCGGACTTCCAAACAACGTCACCGTGCAACAGATCATGCTTGTGACCGTGCTCATGACGACAGATCCGCCTGCTCATTTCTTGAGCGACGCGCGGGTGGCTAGTAGCCACACGCCACTCCTTCAGCGGATATTTTCCGTCGATGCAGAGCCTGAAACCGCAACTGGTCGGATGACACAACTGCAACTCAAAGCGAGTGATCATGTCAAGCACCGGTGTTTGGTACCAACCTAAACAGCT